CTGCAGTAGTTAATTATATTTAGTTTAAATCATGTCAGGGTGATAAAGCATCCGTTATAACTTGTTGACCTCAGTTTCTGCATCACGTAACGTATTGTAATGCTAGTTGTTAAAAGCTGTTTTGTGTATGTATAATGAGCTTATAAATAAAACTTGATAATGTTTTATTTATAAAATGTTGCCGTGTTTGCACCCTTATAAGGACAGATATTTGACACGGAGAAAAAATAAATAAATCCTATTTTTTAATCACGTATGGTAGCTTTGGTTCATGTGGTTCATTGACGACCGCTCCTGATCTGTTGTATATCGGTTATAGCCGTAGCACATGGCTAATTAGCATATCAGTACATCTGCGCATCGCTGAAGCCGTTTCAGAGCCGCTGCGTCTAGATTAATTATGTCAGCTGTCATAGATGGCAGCACATGAATTCAACATGTGTTAACTCATCAGGAATATAAAACCAGTGAAATACGGTCCAACTGGTGGAGACTGCGGCACAACGGCAGGTTTTTGTTTTACTGCAAATCCCAAGGCTGAAATCTGTGTTTTATGGAACAAAACGGCGCCGTTTATAATGCCTGTACACAACAATTATTGAGAGTTGCTGTTTGAAAACATAATTAGAGCCGTTTGCCGCTCTGTTTCTGACCAGTGACTTGAATTTGTTCTAGACGGCAAAGAAAAATCTATATGTGGAAATTCCTAATTTGAAGAATGTGTTGAGAAATATATTACGAGTAATCATAAATTGATTCCTGGTAGAGATGTGGAGAACCTGTAAGAAAATCTCTGATGTATTATAATATAAATACTGAACTATCAGATGTTTTGTGTATCTCTGTTCTGTTAAATACTATTAAACTTTCAGCCTCTACCTCTCATGGAAACGTGTAAAAGCTCTTTTGGAAATCTGTGAGGAACCGGAAATGTCTGTCAACAAGTTGACAGATAGCAGCTGACCGAGTGCAACAAGAGAGGCGTGTGAGCTGCAGAGTTTCACTTTTATGCCAGCAAGTCCATTAGTAAGAGCGAATAATTGTTTCAAAGTTTTAAATGAAAGTAGTTCATGTTAAAAATGTTTCAGAAAAAGTCATAGATGGCCATTCCTGAATTCAAGAAAACATTTTCCTCGCTAATATCGAAGAAATTGTATAATTTGAAAAGCCCAGACCTGCTTCCTAGCCGTCCCAGAACTTTGATAAAATGTTTTAGCACATGGTCTCCAACTTTAAATCTATTTCACACTCTTGTATTTGTGTGCAGCGTCCTATTTTAAGTGGCAATAACTGCCCTGGAAGCTCTGAGTGTCGTGATAAGAGGGGTAAGCCCTTTGCTTGTCGGATAATCCAGCAGCCAGAAAGCTCCTGCCGATGGAAGCCGTCTAAAAGGTCTTATAATGCTGAGCTTATGTTGTCACTATCTCATGTTCTGCAGAGCAGCAACAGCAAGGTCTGTGCCGTCGCACAGCGACTCGGCGGAGTCTGAGAAAATTATTAAGCGAAAGCCACGACATGTCGAGGTTTTCGCTCAAATACCTTCGTAATTTTGGTAACCAGATTCACGTGAACGTGGTTCATGGCGTTTTCAGCTTTTCTGGTACTAATTTCGCTTTTAAGCGCCTAACTGGCGGCCCAGACGTCCGATCGCGGGGGCAGAAACAGAAGGTAATGAAAGTTAAAGTGCTGCTGGGGGCCTGCGGCAGCATGACAAAGTGTGTTTGATGGAAAAAAGCACACAGTCGGAGTGAGAGACGCGACTGATGTGGCTTCAGAGGGCCTAAATTTGACATGCAGGCAGCCTGAGAGGTAATCTGTCTGTCTCCCTTTGACACTAATTTACAGCGCAAAGCTTCCCTCAGCCGCAGTAATGCCGTGTTCGTCTTCAGCTGCTTTTATCTCGCATATTGTGGAACTTGGCTGCATGTTGAACCCGTTATGTCTCACGATCAATCTCCTTTGTTTACAGTGACTCATTGGAAGTGGTTGTTTTTGAACCGCACAGAGAGGATTATCTTTCTGGCTTTTACTCCACTTTAGCCGTCCTTCCTCATCAGAAACGGCACTTGGTTGCTTAAATTCATCCAGACGTTATTAATCCGCCTCCTTTGTAGCTCGGTTTTCATTTCCATGCAGCTGCAGCGGCTCATCAGTGCACCTGTTAATTCTCTTTCAAAAGCCCGAGTTAATGTTTTCATTAGGCTCGCCCTAATGTAATGGTACTTGACACAGTGCAAGTGATGGAGAGCCAGGGTGACCTTTCCCCGTGTCTGCCAAGCTGGTGCTGAGGCCGTGTGGTTGTCAGCTCGCAGCGAGGAGGCAGCGGAGCACCGCTGAGAACAGTCATTAAGCACAGAGCAAAGCCAGCGCGCGGCACCGCTCCACACTTTTGATCTGCACATTTCAATTAGATTTCACATCAGGATGCCTGCTTTCCCTCAGTTTGCACCTGCGGCCTGCCTTTCCAGCTGGCCCCGGCCAGGTTGAGGAGGGAGGCGCACAGGAAACGACCCGCGCGCCCCGCAACCGCCTGAAATGGATGCACAAACAGCACGGCTTTCAGGGAATTATCTTTAACTTCCCTGCTTTTATGGAGTGAGAGCAGGAAGTCCATGTTGTTTTGAGTTGCCTGTTCATTTTATTTATCCAAGATAGTTTCTTTTTTATTCATGCAAATTTTGCAAGTGGAATTGGCCCAACTTTTCAAGATGGCCTCCGTCTTCAGCTGGTTTCGTACACAAGCTAATGTGGTAATTGATCCAACTCGAAGATGGACAAATATTTGTTTCCAGGCCTTATTCCTTATCCGATTTTCTGAAAGTTTAATCAGTTTCTCCAGTCACTTGTCCATCCATCTGTCATTGTCAGTCTGTCCATCCATCTGTCTATCCATTTATTTTTTATCCATGCATTTGGATAACATTTCATCTGTTATTATTCAGCAATCTGTCCATTATTCAGCAATACGTACATCAGTTTGTTCATCATGTGTCCATGCATTCAACCAATTATTTATTAAAACATGTGGTTGTCCATCCATCCTAAGTATCTTTCCAGTGGCATTGAACGATAAATTGCCCCAGAAGTTTTTTTTTATATAGGATGATATTTTTGTTTTTAGACCATTTTCAAGTAATGTAGTGGTTGTGGCCTAATAAAGCAAACACACTCTGTAAAAGATCAATAATTTCGCATTGGAACTGGAAGACATTTTAAATATCCAAAATAAATAAACAAAACACTCCCCAAAAAAACAAATAAAACGGATACTAAAGACCCTGGAAACAAAATTGCTTTTCAAAAAAAGGGGCTAGTAGAGACCAATGCACTAACTACACTGAAGCCTTTTCTCATCGAGTCTTTGGTAGAAAAAGAGAGACGTGAGAAAACCAATCATCCTAATGGAAATGATCAACCTCGTTTTAATTTATCATGCAATTAATTGATTTATTGCTTATTGTACCAGCTTCAGTCCTGCCACTGTTTAAATATCTGCTAGAGCATCTTCATACGTCATCAGCATAGAGAACCAGTCTGGAGTTTGGTGGAGATGTGAAGGAAACTCTTGCATGTGTTTTGCAGCACCGTGATTTCCTCTGAAATTGGAGCAGGTTCCTCTAGACCCCAACGCACTTCAGTAAATACTTTCCAGTGCTGCTTTGCCTGATAAAATGGGAGTCCCTACTGTTTCTGGTAGATATGAATTCCCCCATAAGAACCACATGAAGGGAGATCTCATTAACAGGTCTAAATCCCACTGAGTTGAGCATCATCTACCAATCAAAGCAGCAATTCAGTAAAACCAAGCTTGCTCCATAATGTTGAACCTAAATGACTTGTTGAAATAAAAATACAAAATAAAAAAAGCTGCTTTCTTGTATTTTCACAGCCAACAACTACCCGCCTCAAGCAGACTTCTTTGATGATAAGGAATTAAAGCAGCTGCAGCCCTTTTGTTTCCTTTTAGTCCAACGTACAATGCTTCTGAACAGCTGTCTTTGTGTTGGTTAAATACGTTTATAAACATTAATTTTTTAACCAAACTGGTTTTCCCAGCTCTTTGTTTTTGGCCAAAAAAAATTTTTTTTTACAGACGACGTGGCGCTATTGCTGAGAAGCCGTTAATGCATTTCAGAGCGCAACTGGCTGACTAATTTATGTCAAGTTTTGCAGCTGAAGCGGGAAGGAAAACAGTCAATAGCCATTAAACCCGGGGAGCTTTGTCGAACAGCAGTTTAACAGACCGCCGCCTGTAGATGGCTGCCCTCTGGGCTTTAAAGATTACAGGTGACTTACTGCTCACTAAACAGTCACACAGCATGACTTCATGAATTTGTCATCCAGATATTTCCACTAGTTAGTTTACGGTCGGTAGGAAAGGTTGCTTTAACTACTTCACACCTCACTTTCCAAAGCTTGTTATGCGTTATTGCGATATTGCAAAGCAGATGTTAATATGCAGCAAAGTGCTTTCCGATCCATGATTGCATGTGTAAATGTTTCAGTCGGGTATTGATTTCCTGGCAGCCTTTTGTGCGTGGGATTTATCCGCCCGGCTCGCTGGCAAGTGCACCCCACCGAATGTTTGATTAAAGTTCAATTGACTCTTCCAGCGAAGGGGCGAGGAGCCATTTCACTCCCTATTTGTAGCGCCAAAGCGCTGCCTGACATGTTCTTTTGTTCCCATTCAACCTCCTGCCACCCAGGCAGCCACCAAAGCACTGATCCTAATATCCCCGCATTCAGCGAGCCTCCTTGCTTAATCCAGGGACAGACAGGGCTGCAGCACAAACACGCCTCAGGCACCTACAAATCCCGACATGGACTGACCTGCGCCGCAGCCCCTCGCTCCCAAACGCTGTGTAGACCGTAGATTTAGTTGACGCAGATTCTTTAGCAAGTCGACTCAAAACGTTGTTTTTGATCCAGACACCTTTATGCAGCCAAAACACACAATGCCTGAGCCACTCTTTTGATGGTATTAACTGCTCTCTTTTCAGGGGGAGTTGATTACTTTCTACTATTATTGGAAGAAGACACCGGAGGCAGCCAGCTGCCGAGCCCACAGGAGACACCGCCGCCAGCCTGTCTTCCGCCGCATCAAAACACGAACCGCTTCGACTCCTGTCAACACCCCCTCACGCCCGCCCTCAAGCGAGTTCTGTGCGTACACACACACACACACACACACCCCAGTTACTCTCCCTCGCAAAAGTATTCACACCCCCTTGAAATCTTGTTCGTTTGTCAGGTCGCAGCCACAGTCTTCAGGATGTTTCAATAGGATTTTATGTGATAGGCAATGTGGATAAGGGTAGACCAAAGCGGAAGGAAGAAAATTATTTTCCACAAATAAGAATCTGAGTTTATGTTCAGATTCTTACTTTACTCTTAAGCTTTTACTAACATATATAAAATTATTTTCAGCCGATTGCCTGCATGAGTCACCTAATTAGTAAACGGAGCCAACCTGTGTAATTTATTTATTATCAGTATAAATTGTTGCTCTATCATAATAAAATAATTAAAATGGTATGAAACAACTGCCCACTTAAACTGACAAGTCAGGAGGTGGAGAAATAATCAGAGTAGCAGTCAAGAGGCCCTTTTTTAATTTTTTTTTTTTTTTTTTTTTGCTTATTTGGTATGGACAAGAAATGTACATCAAGACAATCCTATACCTTCATCATAGTGTTTATAGAAAAGGCTAATATACAACAGCCGAAACCTACAAGGACTTTTAACAGGTGATTTCAATGAAAAGTTGAGGTCAGCAGTAAACATAATAAAATAATCAAAAATAGATATAGAACAATGTATTTAAAATGACTAAATTGAAGCAATTACAACTTTAATCAACTTTAAAACTCTGGAGGAAGTGCAGAGATTCACAGCTTGGTTGGAAGAATATGTTGAAACCATTAGTAAAGATAGTTAAGCAGAGTAAATATATTCCTAAAAGTAGCCCCCTGCCCCCCAAAACAAGATACCCAAATAGAAGTTACTGAGTAAATGTAACAAGTCAATACCCAACTCTGACGGTGGCACAGTCCAGCTGTGGGGAAGCTGTTTGTTTAGCACCAACAGGCGTGTTGTAGTTTTTATATCTAAGCATATTCCTGTGTTGTGATCAGTTTAGAGCTAAATTCAGTTGAGAATCTTCATAAAGCATCTATGAACATTACTATTCACTGATGCCTCCAAGCAATCTGGAACTCTTACCAGGAAGAACAGCAGAATATTCCAGTCTGTAAACACGCAGAGCTTGTAGAGACATACCCCAAACGACTTGCAGCTGAAACGGCAGCTGGAGGTGGATCTACATGGTAAATGCAAACGCACACCACAGCATCCTCTTCCTTTCACTTCACGATTATGCCCTACTTGTTGTGTGTGCGTTGCACATAAACCAACAGTTGCACACGCTGAAGCATTGCGGCCGTCGAGGCGTGTGAATACTTTTGAATGTGGCAGGATTACATTGAGACGAATGCCTATCCTGGATGATCCGGTGTGAAAATGTGGTGCATTTGTCTCTCTTCCAGTGGACCTGAGCTCTGCCAGCGAAGATGACTTTGACAGTGAAGACAGCGAACAGGAGCTGAAGGGCTACGCCTGCCGCCACTGCTTCACCACCAGTAAGCAAACCACACGAAACCGCTTCGGCACACTGCTCATCATTTGGACTCGGCTTGCTATTCCTGGTCTGTCCCGGGATCCGTGTGATCCCGCCCCAACACAGTGCCGTGTGACAGATGGGCATCAGAGGATGTCAGGACTAATTTGATCAAATCAGACATGAGCCCACAGCTCGTTCACTCTCTCCACCTCATTATCCTTCCCTCTTTTTTTTTTTTTTTTTTTTTCCACCCAGCCGGCTCCCAGAACCGGGCTGCCAGCTGAACAGTCTAAGGTTGCCATCACACGGGTGGCTAATACGTCTCGCCTCACCTTGTTAACACAGAATAATAAATCACTGACAATTTAGGTGCAAGGTATAGCACTGGAAATGTAAAGTCAGACGTTGCTCAAGGCGCTTCTTTGTGTTCTGTAGTTGTCGGTTTATTGCAGTGTGTTGTTTATTCCTTTTGCCCCCCTCCCACCCCCAGTGAGAGTGTCTTATTTCACAACTGTAAATGGCTTTCCTCAGCCTCCAAGGACTGGCACCACGGGGGCCGGGAGAACATCTTGCTGTGCACCGACTGCCGCATCCACTTCAAGAAGTACGGGGAGCTGCCCCCCATCGAGAAGCCCGTGGACCCGCCACCATTTATGTTCAAACCCGTCAAAGAGGAAGAGGATGGCCTCGGCGGGAAGCATAGCATGAGGACTCGACGGAACCGAGGCTCGGTGCGCCAACACTCGCTCCCCACACCCATCCATCTATTCTCACCTTCACGAAACAAATCCTCTGGCTGTTCCCCCGGAGAAATGAGCAGCTAGACTACAGGGCCTGTTGACAATAAATAAATAGTACAGGAAAAGAGCTTTTTATTATATTCAGAGTTTTGTGCAGTCTGGAAATGTATGGATATTAATTTATAGGGGACTTATGCAAAATTCACTTTTTGCCCATTTATGTACGTCAGCTGCTTGTAAAAGCAGCCCAGGTGCTTAAAAAAAACAATCCAGCTGTTTTTGACATTAAGTTAATGCCTTTTTTGGTGTCTGGAAAATGAGGTGTTATAAAAACCTCTGTGTTGTTTAGTCACAAACGACAGGCACTGTGCTGTTACCTAGCAACTCCAGCCGAGCCCCGCCCATCACCTAGCAGTCACTTTTACCATTGTTTTCTCTGTACAATGGCTGCTAGGAAAGAACAGTTTGGATGTTAACTTACCATCCAGAAACCACTTGCTGCATTCTTGTTGGTAGCGCAGGAGGCTCCACTTCTGCTTTTCAGATATGTACAGTTGTATAACTGTGCATCTGTTTGCAGCCATTTTCACGTGCGAGTGTAGTCGGCTACCAGCAGCTTATTTTAATTTGAAAATGTAACGAACATGTTTCGTATGGTGCATATCCTAACCTGTTCAAAGAATTATAATAGGTAAATATGAAAAAAATAATGCAGGCTTGAGCAATTTTTTGTATTTTCAGACTTTATTCCATTTTTCACTGTCTGAGGGCAGTATTTTTCTACCCATCCATGCATCCATCAATTATTTTATTCATTCAGCTTTACTGTCTTGGATTTTTACAGGTCCATTCTATATAGAAATTTACACAAATCTGTACGTTTCTAGGGAACTATAATGTTTATCTTTGCTAGTGTGAGTCTGGAGTGATTTTGAGTTTGGGACATAAAAATCTGTAAGAAGTCAGCTTTTGATGTTGTTGTACGTGGAGGCCTAACACCCTTTGTCTCGACTCTGATGACAGATGTCAACGCTACGCAGTGGTCGCAAGAAGCAGACAGTCAGTCCCGATGGCCGAGCCTCACCTACCAACGAGGATCTGCGCTCCAGCGGCCGCACTTCGCCGAGCGCAGCGAGTACTGACAGCACCGACAGCAAGACAGACTCCATGAAGAAGACAAGCAAGGTAAACGTCACACAGATGCATCAAGAAAGCCTTTTTGCTCTGCAACTGCTTGCACTGTGTCCTCTAATGGTGCCGCTGCTCTGCAGAAGATTAAAGAGGAAGCGCCGTCACCTATTAAGAGCGTCAAACGGCAACGAGAGAAGGGAGCTTCGGACTCGGAGGAACCTGAAAGGGCCAGTGCCAAAAAGTCCAAGACACAGGTGAGTCTGGGTTTCTATTGTTCTAAGTCTGGTGCTGTAGCGATTGGCTTCATTTTTTTTTTTTTTAGTCCTAATTGATTCCTATTTTACAAAACATTTAGTCAACATCATAAACCATACACATGCGCATCGTGAAAAGAATTGAATAGTAAGAAGTACAAAGAAATAAATAAAAATACACAAAATTAAAACTTAATATAAAATAATAATGTGTATCTATTATAGTAGTGGATTTATCTCTAAAAATAAAATCAGATCTTCTGAGTTTCACATCACAGCTTTGCGGCCATAAAAACTCAGTTGTTCGATCTTCCATATTTGTTTCTTTTTGAAGCTTCTTATGATGAACTTCATCCGATCCTCCTCTGTGTCTCACAGGAGCTCACCCGGCCGGACTCGCCCTCTGAATGTGACGGGGAGGGAGAAGGGGAGGGCGAGAGCTCCGATGGGCGGAGCATCAACGAGGAGCTCAGCAGCGATCCAAAAGACATTGACCAGGACAACCGCAGCTCCTCCCCCAGCATCCCCAGTCCCCGTGACAACGAGAGCGACTCGGACTCCTCGGCCCAGCAGCAGCAGCTCCTGCAGACCCAGCATCCGCCGGTCATCCAGTGTCAACCGGGCTCGTCAGTCGCCTCCTCAGCACCTGTTCCTCCCACCACCTCAGCCCCCTCTCTGCCTCCGCAGGTGGCGCCCACTGCCACCTCCACCTCTCTACCTCCTCAGCCGCTGCCCCAGACCAGCCCGATGTCTCTCATCCAGGCCGGGGCATCGCTTCACCCCCAGAGGCTACCGTCTCCTCATTCGCCTCTGACTCAGGCTCCGCCCCCTGGCCCGCCTCCATCGTTACCCAGCCCCCATCATGGCCCTATGCCCCCCATGCCACATCCACTACAGCCAGGACCTCCACTCCTGCCGCATTCTCACGCCATGACCGCTCAGGGATTCCCTGTGGCTGCCTCTCAGGTCCCGCCCCCGCCCATCTCTAGCCAATCACAGCAGAGGTCTCACAGTCCTCCTCCTCAGTCTCAGCCTTCCTCTCAGAGCGGAGGCCAGCCTCCCAGAGAGCAACCTCTGCCCCCTGCGCCCATGCCCATGCCTCACATCAAGCCCCCTCCCACTACCCCCATCCCCCAGATGCCCACCCCACAGTCTCACAAACACCCCCCTCACGGGTCTGTCCCTCCGTTCCCTCAGATGCCCTCAAACCTGCCCCCTCCTCCTGCCCTGAAGCCCCTCAGCTCTTTATCCAACCACCACCCTCCATCAGCACACCCCCCGCCCCTCCAGCTGATGTCCGGGGGACAGCAGCTCCAGCCTCCACCAGCCCAGCCTCCGGTTCTCACCCAGTCCCAGAGTCTACCGCCATCGGCCAGCCACCAGCCTCCCCCGCCGCCGCCCCTGCCCCCTCCGGCAGCGGCCTCACATCCCGGCGGGGCGCCACAACAGCCCCCATTCTCCTCACATCCTTTCAGCACAGTTCTACCTCCAAGCGGCCCACCACCTTCCTCATCGAACTCTATGCCTGGCTTACAGCCGCCCTCTTCTTCCGCCCCGTCCTCTTCCATCTCCATGCCACTTCCTGCCTCGGTCAGCTGCGCTCCGCCCACCCAGGCGGTCCCGCCTGTACACATCAAAGAGGAGCCGCCAGATGAGTCGGAGGAGCCGGAGAGCCCGCCTCCCCCGCAGAGGAGCCCCTCACCGGAGCCCACTGTTGTCAATACGCCCAGCCACGCCAGCCAGTCAGCACGGTACGTTTGGAGGGATGAGAGAGCTGTTCATTTCAGAGCTCTGCAGTTATTGTTGTTTCGTATCGGCAGTGATTCGTTTCATACCAAAATTCGGCCTCAGGCTGGTATGATAAAGGGAGGCATTATGTAAAATTGACTTTGTTGTGCTTTATTTCCTTTTATAACATTATTCTCACACCATAAACATACCTGGAGTGTTTGTTTGATTCATTCGCGCATGTTTGAGAAATCTTTGAGTCTCCCATTGGGGTGCCTCACAAAGCGCCGCCTGTTTATCTAAAGCTGCTGCTCCAGCCGAGCTCCTGCAGACTAGTGGCAGCAGCAATTAGCAAACTCCTGGAGGAGCATTGTTGTAATTAAATGCTGAAGGCAGAGCATCTGAAAGAGCCGGAGCGTCTTAAAGAGACAGGCGCTCAATTTCAAGGCGTCAAATTAAAAAGTCAAAATTTCTTTTGTCATGTTTGGTACATAAAGCATTTTTAAAACAACTGAAGGTAATGTAATTACTTTATTGAGCTATAAAATGGCACAATGTGCCTGGAAAATATATGTGTGGGAGCAGAGATGTATCTATGGTCTCTGGTGAAATTCTTAGCTGTTTTAAAAACCTAAACTAATGAACACGCGTGTGCCTTGACACCAGTAGCCATCCCGCGCATGCTAACTGGTATAACTGGAGGTTTCTCAGAGTGATCTAATGAAACTCAACTGGCTCAAATGGAGATCAGAAACAAAATAAATTAAAATAGGATCTAATACAATAATCAGAAAAAAATACACATTTATGTGGAATTATTTTATGATTATTTTCCTCACATTATTCTTGAAAATACTTTAGTAGAAAGAAAAACAAACTTGTTTAGGGAATTCATGGCTCTATGAAATGAACTGGTTAACTGGCCGCGAAGAAAACAACCTACAAACCGGAGATCCACAGTCGAATCACAATCAAAACGTACAATATCAGAACTGCAGAGGCTGCTGGGAGAGGCCAGTCACTTTAAATCCCATTCATGCTTTGCTCGTCCACCATATATTTGACTTGTCAGACGAAGTTTAATTGCCCTTGATTCCCAAAACTGACAGATTATAGTGACCCAAATCCTAAAACCGATGCGCAGCTTTGGAGACATCACGATGATGAGAGAGCAGCGTGAGGAAATGTGGGTTAAGCTTTACAGTTAAAATACAGCAGATGCGTCTTTAGTCAATATGGTGCAGCCCGGACATAAGCTAATATTTACCTGCGTGGCTACAGGTTTGCTTCGCTCCATAATCAAAAAAGCTGGCTCCGCGTTTTGAGGCAGCAGATTGAATGTGGTCAGCAGAACATCGGTCCAAGGCCGCAATTAGCCCGGAGGTGGCAGATAGTTTAGAGTTACAGAGGACGGGGCTGGGGCAGATTAATTACAGAGAGACGTGAGCAAACCCTGGGCTTCTAAGTATGACTATCTGTGGTTAAGTGACTCTCAGGCTGCCAATGAATAGCAATGAGGATTTTAATTCAGAGTCAGCGTAGCAGCAAAAGTGGCTGCAGTGGGAGTTTATTTCCTCGTTGAATAATGGACTGTTGTAATACACGACAGGGCATTAGAGTCACATTCAGAGTGTAAAATTGAGATGCAGCTCGCCTCTGATTGGTCCAAATTGACGAACCAGAAATGTCCTGTGTTTCCGACAGGTTCTACAAGTACCTGGACCGAGGTTATAACTCGTGCGCTCGGACAGATTTCTACTTCACTCCGCTGGCCTCGTCTAAGCTGGCCAAGAAGAGAGAGGAAGCTCTGGAGAAAGCAAAGCGAGAAGCTGAGCAGAAAGCGAGGGAAGAGAAGGAGCGGGAAAGGGAAAAGGAAAAAGAACGAGAGAGAGAGCGGGAGCGGGAAAAGGAGGTGGAGCGTGCAGCGGTGAGTACTTCCTTCGTTTTTCCCTTGTTTTTAATCTTGTCAATGTCAATTTATTGACAAAGTATGTATAAAGACAACAGATGCTGACCAAAGTGCTGCACAACCCAATAAAACGAAGCAAGAAATAGAAAAAAGTCAGATTAAAACAAAACCCAAAAATAATCCATAAATGTTATTATAAAAGAAACTCAAACTCTGTTTGAATCAAACGCCAAATAATAAAAATAGATGCTGAGCAAAGTTTAAAAGTCTCAGCAGTTTCGACCCTTCTGAGGGTTAAGAGTACAAATTGCAAAATCACCTCTGAATTTTAACCAGAATCTATGAACATGTAAGAGAAACTGGTTGGTCGACCAAAGATATGAAGGGCTTTTAACATTTTAAAAATATCAATAAAGTCTTAAAAACAATCCTAAAATAAACAGGAAGTGAATGAAGAGAAGCCAGAAGCGGAGATGTGCGTTCTCGTTTTTTAGAGCTGTTAAATGACGACCTGCTGCATTGTGGAGGGTTTGTAGGCGATGCAGACATGATTTGTTCAGCCCAACATAGAAAACGTGACGATAATCACTTTTCCAAGGTCTTTACCTTGGCAATTTGTCTAGTTGGAAAAAACTGGACTTTAAAACAACATTTATCTCTTCATCTAGTTTAAAAACGGCATCAAAGATAAAACACAATTCCTGACTGCAGGAATGACGCAAGGCAGCAAAGACTGTCGAGGGTTGTACATTTCCCAAATGTACAACCCTGCTGCTTGCTCTCCCACCTCCACCATCAGTCCTATTTTCTTTTAAATTCAAGAAACAAATTTTCAATCCGATTTTAATGGCGGTCAGGCAGTTTGAATAGTGTTTGAAGACAACTTGACACTATTTTGCTTCGTTGACAGATGCATTTGAATATCAGCTGCAAAAATAATGGAGGGAAATGTTATGTTTTCTAAAAAAAAAAAAAAAAAAAGCAACCCAGAAGCAAAATGTAAAGGTTAAAAAGTAGCAGACCTAGACTAGAGCCTTGAGGGACGCTGCAAATCAGAGGAGCCATAGAAGAAGAGCCTTCTCCTAAATGAACAGAAAAAGCTCCTATTTGTCAGGTTCTACAAAGCATTTAGCCCAAATGTTTTGTTTCTCCCCACAGAAAGCTTCCAGTTCTGCTCACGAGAGCAGAATGGGGGAGCCCCCGATGGCCGGCCCCACCCACATGCGGCCCCCGTTCGACGGCCCCCCGACCACGATCGCAGCGGTGCCTCCGTACATCGGCCCCGACACGCCCGCGCTGCGCACCCTCAGCGAGTACGCCAGACCCCACGTCATGTCGCCCACCAACAGGAACCACCCGTTCTTCGTCTCGCTCAACCCCGCCGACCAGCTGCTGGCCTATCACATGCCCAGCCTGTACAACGCCGACCCCGCCATGCGGGAGCGGGAGCTGCGGGAGCGGGAAATGCGGGAGAGGGAGATCCGCGAGCGCGAGCTGAGGGAACGGATGAAACCGGGCTTCGAAGTCAAACCCCCAGAGATGGACTCGCTCCACCCTTCAACAAACCCCATGGAGCACTTCGCCCGGCACGGGGCTCTCACCCTGCCCCCCATGGCCGGCCCTCACCCGTTCGCCTCCTTCCACCCGGGCCTGAACCCGTTGGAGCGTGAGCGGCTCGCCCTCCCGGGGCCCCAGCTGCGGCCGGACATGACCTACCCAGAGCGGCTGGCAGCAGAGAGGCTCCATGCGGAGCGGATGGCCACGGTGGCCAACGACCCCATCGCTCGCCTGCAGATGTTCAACGTCACGCCGCACCACCACCAGCACTCGCACATCCACTCCCACCTCCACCTCCACCAGCAGGACCCGCTCCACCAAGGTAAACGAAAGCCCTGCTTATATTTAACAATGTTACTGTGATAGTTACAGCATGTTGTCAGGAAAGTTTAGGTAACTTGATATTTTAACATGCTGTGGTAGCTTAAAGCTACAGTATGTAGTTAATAACAAATATGTTATTTGTTAAAACTGTCAGCATGTCGTGATAGTTTACTATGAGACAGATAATCTGTGGAAAGATCGATCTCCTCCCTGTCAAAAACTACCAATCAGAGCCAGGAGGAGGACCTTAGTGTTGTCAGTCAACACCATGTATGTGCTGCTCAATGTGGTAATGGTGAAGAAACAACTTACCATTACAGGAAAACCTTTTATCCGCTATTAGTCATGGTCACGCTAACTAGCTTGAGTAGTTTGCCTCTGTTGTGGTGCACCAGCTGTAGCATAGCAGAGAGCAAGCAGCAGCATACACAAGCATGATGGACAGCACTAAGACCTTCCCCCTGGCTCTGATTGGTTGTTTCTGACAGAGCAGTGTATTTATGTAGATGGCAGTAGAACTATAGGGAAAAGGCAGAAGAACTCAATGTTTCCACAGATTGTGTCTCATACCTTACTCAACAGTTTTAACAAATATGTATAATTTTTTTTTTTTTAATAAAAGTTTCTTACTGTAGTTTTAGCTCAAAGATTTTTTGCTTTGTCATGAAGTTAAAACTGTTTGATCTATAAGATTTATTAAAGTAATTAAAATATTGTTTTATAAGATGCTTTGTACTTGTAGTTATTGAACTTGTCAGTGTTATTTGGTTAATTTATATTCTGTGATAAGTTTACAGTGCCTTGCAAAAGTATAAATACACTCCTTAAACCTTTTGTAACATCACAACCACAAGCTTCAATTTGTTTTAGGCTTTTTAACTGTGAAGCAGAAGAAAAATAAATGTAGTTTACAGAACATTTCACAATTAAAAATCTGAAAAGTATACTGTACATTCTTTGTCCTAATTGGTAATTATAGTTTACCAGCTGTTCTGGCTGAGGTTTACATTCAAGGAAGATAAACCATTATTATATAGCCAGAATTGCAACTGAATAGTTAATTTTGCTTTTTTTATGCATTAGAAGAATTAGCCTAGTCAAAGTTCAAGCCTAAGTCTGTGGCAAGACCAGCAAAGTGACGTTAACAGACATCCAGCTCAGCTGAACTTGAGTAGATTGTGCAAAGCTGATAGAGATGCACCCATGCTGCTGTATTTGCAGTAAAATTTGATTTTTATGAGTTATTTATTCATGAAAAGATTTGAAAATCAATCCTCTAAAACCCCAAATGAAATCTATTGGAGCTTGTGGTTGTCTAATGTGACAAAATGTGGAAAAGATTAAGGGGAAGCGATGCTTCTGCAAGGCTCTGAAGACGTGAATCTGCAGCTCCAGGCCTTCACTGCCGCTGTCCCTCTCTGCTCCAAATGAACGGCTGCAAATTCAGCCTTTTGATTCAGGCGTGTTGGAGCAGGGATGCATGTAAAAGCTGCAGGACAGTGGAGGCCTGGAGTTACAGGCCTTATTAGTAGATAATTAATGTCATATTTTCTGTATTGAAGTTGTGATGTTTTGTCAATGCTTGTTTTACTCCTCTCATCGCAGTAAGCAGCGGCTAACCGGGAAATGTCACCGTTCAACCTTTAACAATTTACTCCAAACTGGGCGGACGTTTATCGTATTATTTGCCATCTACCGTAATAAATTTCATATCGCGATTAGCATTTTGATTTATTGTCACAATCAAGTCCAAATAACCCCCAAAACTGTCGGTATTGTTTTGTTAGTTTTACTATGTTCTCCAGTTTGTTCAATGAGAGTATCAATAAATATAAATAAGTCTGAAAATGCAATTATATGCAGTTGGTGGCAGAAATCACACTTCTTTATGTGAAGTGTCTTACAGATTACGTATTTGTGTTTGTAGGGATATGATTGCTATCATGCAGTCACAGCTACAGTCACCTGAAAAAGAAGTGATAAATAGTTATTATTCTCGCTTCTATTGTGATCACAGTAGTACCAGAAAATGCTGCGATGAAACATCAAGTCCGTATCGCCGAAATGTGTAAATATCCGCGCTAACCGAAACGATTGCAAGCCGCTGCTTTGCTCCATGAGAGGAGTGCCACTGAATGAAACCGTGCATCAGCAGCAGAGCATGACCTGCTGCTGATGCACTATGATGTGATGAGTGCACCTTGACCCTAAGACTCTGACACCCAGAAGGTGGTGGTGAATGTCTTGTCTGTCCTCCAGGCTCGGGGGCCCACCCGCTGGCCGTCGACCCGCTGGCAGCCGGACCTCACCTGGCGCGCTTCCCCTACCCGCCCGGCGCCATCCCCAACCCTCTCCTGGGCCAGCCGCCGCATGAACACGAGATGCTGCGCCACCCGGTCTTCGGTAAGCACATCCCCCCTCCTCCATGTCAACGTAATCTATCACCCCTGTGTTCCGGCGCGCCTCCTGACCGCATATTGTCCCTCCAGGTGCTCCGTACCCACGGGACCTACCAGGGGGTCTTCCGCCGCAGATGTCGGCAGCCCACCAGCTGCAGGCCATGCACGCCCAGTCGGCAGAGCTGCAGCGGCTGGCGATGGAGCAGCAGTGGCTCCACGGCCACCACCACATGCACGGCGGGCCGCTTCCTGGTCAGGAGGACTACTACAGGTCAGACGAGCGCCAAACGCCAGGAACGCAAAAACCCGGCGTTCCGCGTCTTTAAAACTCCCCTCTGTGTTTCAGCCGACTGAAGAAGGAGAGCGACAAGCAGCTGTAACCAACCGGAGGGAGGCGGCGACCGACGAGTGCAGGACACAGGAAGTTGTCACAAAAGCAGCGGTCTTGGAGGCTCCTCACGAACCTCTGAACACCTTCAGTCTTGAAGAACAGGAACAGGCCGAGCGGATCGTCTGAGTTTCTTCAGTTTCTGTTCCCGTCGAGGACCTTTGATTTCCCTTTTTTTTTTTGTTTGTTTTTTTTAATTATTATTATTTTATTTTTCCAAGACATTGACTTTCTTTGGTATATAACCAGTAGTGACAACATCCTCAAGACTCCTGCATGACAAGCTTCCCTGATGTTTTGTAGGTGCTAGAACAAGACACTGTGCTTATCAAAAAAAAAAAAGAACGGAGAAAAAAAACAAAAACAAATAAAGACCTGTCAGACCATTTATGGAAAAATAACAAGTGCTATCTTAAATTCAACCTTTATTTTAATACATTGTTGGAGGTTTTTCATAATTTTAAGAAGAGCTACAGCATGGCGTTTTTCAGTCTGTAAATAGTATATATAAACATATAATTATAATTATTATTATTATTACTAGGTGTGGACTCCAAGTCGTTTCAGCCTCCAATATAACTTGTTTTGAAGCATTATCCCTTGTTTCAGAGGGGAGCACCATGGCATTATACGAGCAGTTTCTGAGAGTTGCGGTTCGGTTGTGACCTCACTGTGTTAGATTTAGTCCCACATACGCTTGTTGTATGTAAACCATGATCCCCCCCCACCCCCCTCATTACGCACGCCTCTGCATCCACCCGCCCCACACATCCATCCATCCATCCATCCATCGGCTGTGACGCGCAGCGGGGTTGTCAGAGTTGGCGTGTTGAGTTACTGATCTGAAACACTTGAAGAGGCGACGGACGGGAAAAAGGAGAACTTTGCACTGAGTGAGCGTCCTGGAGCTCGGCTAAGGCGGTGTCATCCTTTTTAATTTGTGTCCAAGTCATCAGCAGGAGGGAGCGGTGCACCGTCGCCGTGTGTGGTGGAACGGTTTTAATTTCAACCACATGGACCAATTTTAGGCCAAATAAGAGGCGCTTTCTCTGTTTGTTTGATTTTTTTTGTTGTTGTTTCAAATCGAGCAGGATTTGAATTTTGCTCAATCTTAGAGCCTAAGAGGACTTTTTCAACCTTCAAATAGTAGTGCACGACCCGCTGCACATATTATATGAGGAAACCACTTACATAGGATCTGCCTGACGACATGAAGTAGGCCAAAAGACGTCAAGAAGCAACACATGAGCTGAAGAAGTTCAGGACCTGCCTGGAGTCCCTTTGTGCCGCCTCCTTGGTTTTCTGCTGACCAGGAGGAGGCGAAGGGACCGTTCTGTTCACATTCTCATTGTATGCCTTGTTTTTATGGTTTTTTTATGTTGTTGTTGGGGGTTTTTTAAAGACACGCCCAGCTTCCTGCGTCTCTGGACTCGTTTGTGTGCCACTGACTGTTACCCGTCTTATCTGTGCACAAGCTCGCGTTTTTATTGGTTCAGCTATTTTCCCGTGCACTAAGACTGTTTGTCATGGACGTATTAACAAAAAAACATCTGTGGCTTTTTCTTATGTGTGTGTGTTGTTTTTTTTTTTTGTTTTTTTTTTTTGTCTAGCCAGTTGAAACTGCAACACATTTTCCCACGGAGCACTATATTTTTATCTAAACAGCGGCAAAATTCAAACTTATCAAAAAAGGACTTTGAAACGCTGACAACTGCCTGTCACTCCATCTCACCGTTTCCCATCTCTCCTCCTCGTCTCTCTCTCCTCATCATCATCGTCGCCATCCTCTAGCCTCGCCTTTTGATTCCCTCTTTTTTGTGTCTCCGAAGCCTTTGATGTTAAGTGTTGTCAATGGTTTAGCTTCTTGTTTCAAAGCGGCAATAGCAGAATGTAAATTCTGACTGCTAAGATTTATATATATACTGGTATCTTGAAGCTTATTGTATATACGAGTAGTCGCCATGGGATGACACAATGTAAAACAAAAAGTAGAAATAATAAGAAAAATTGTGAGTCCTGTGTTCTCTCTCCATTTGAGTATTTTGTAATTTTTTTGAAAAATTTGTGGAATTGAAATAAACGAATGAGTTACACCACAGACCACGCCGTCGTCCTGCTTCAGTCGCCGACGTGGATTTATTTTTGCTGATTTCTCTGGACTTTAGGTGGCGCGCCAATAAAAAGTGGCGGCTTTCAACATTTTCCATCGGTGGAAATCTGAAAAGTGTGGCATGGTTTTGGGTTCAGGCTCTAACACCACCTTCGACTGCAGTTCCAACTATGTGATTTCTGGTATGCTTCAATCAGTCTCCCATTGAAATGTTGTGTTTTACTCATTTTTCTTTGCAAAACGTCTCAATCTTGGTGGGATTTGATGGAGAGCATCTGTGAGCATTGATTCTCTCCTCTGATTTATGTAGTCAAAACATAAATCAGTCAATGGTATTTGCTCCAAACCACCACCTGCTTGTTTTTTTGCAAAGTTTCTGCAAGTTCTAAAACAAGAGAGATTTGCTCTGATTTAACCTCTGACGGTGGGGGAGGGGGGGGGAAATGGTGTGTTTCTTTTTTTTTTTTACTCCATTTTCAACTGTGTGTGTCTGTTCGTCCCATAAAATCCCAATAAAACACACTGGAGCCGCTTGTCGAAACACGAGAAACTGCTAAAAACAACTGGTGTGATTACTTCTGGAATGCGCCCTCCTATTGTGGTCGTCTCAAATAAAAACACTTAAATCCTTTTCTATTTTATTGGATTAAGTAGGTCTGATTGGTTTAAAAAGAAGCTCATAATTCCCTGTGTCTCAGGAAGACCAGCCCTTCATTCCGGCTTGTTTTCTTGCAGCCTTCGATTTTTCTCCTGCTTCACAACAAACAGCTTTTTGAGAGAGATCGGCGGCAGCAGCCAGCAGCAGGTTGCTTGCGAATCTCTGAGCTGAATATTTTTTGCTCTGCTGCGCTTTAAAAACATGAAAGCCGGGCTAAGCCAGGAGGAACACCTCCTCTCGGGTTTGAGATGCCTCCGCTATCAGCGAGCCGCGGCTGTCGTTTCGCCTCACCGTGTGGGGAGTGATAGACCTGCAATCTGTGATGCTGCGCCGCAGCGATGGCTGTCATTTTGAGAGGGAGCCATTATTCCACTGCTGCTCCTCTGAAATGATGCCCCTGTCCTCTGGTGGTGGTGGAGGGGGGGAGGGGGTAAAATTGAGCTTCCTTGTGGCTTTTTTTTTTTTTTTTTTTTTTTGAAGCTGTGGATGTGAGGTAACTGCGCTTTGAGAGGAGGAGCGGCTTGTTGCTGGCTGCTTGTTTCACCTCCCCAATAAAACAACAAGACGTCAGAGCCCTTCAAATCCGGCTGCCTGAATAATTCATCCCCCCCTCCTCCTCCTCCTCCTCGTCCTCCTTCACACCAGCGATGGAGCGACTGTGACTTGTGTCAGCTCAAATCCTCCTCATAATACTGTGTGTACCCCTCCGGCAGGCACATAGGGATTCATGGCCTTAAAAAAATAATATCTTTCCGTCTGAATAGCAATATGTCTTGTGCTGTTACTGTGTGCAGCAGCAGCAGGTCTCAGACCACAGAGGCTCCTGTCTCTCCTTTCGCTCCAGCGGGCCTGGATGCTGCTGCTGCTGCTGCAGAGACGAGCCTGAGATTTTAGTGCGTTTAGACGGAAGGCAGCTTTCTAAATAAAAGCCGCCCTCGGATACAGAAGTAAACCTGTATCAGATGCACATATATATATATATATATTTATATATATATATATATATATACACACACACGTCCGTTATTGGGCTGAAACCCGCTTAGCTTGTTCAGCATCTGGGCCAAAATTCAGTCGTTTTACAAACCAAGCAAACCTGTATTTATGTAAAAAAAAAAAAAAAAAAAAAACTCCTCTCGATAAATGGAGCGCAGCTGTCAGAATTTGATGCATGTGATTAAAGTAATTAAACGCCTCCAAGATGCAAATGAGCCAAATATGCATTCGTTCGTTCGTGTGTGATTTATTTAAAACGGGCTTCAACTGCACGTTTCTGCAGCCTGAATATTTATATCTGTCAAAACGGCATCATTAAAAAAAATAAATAAATGAAATCCCAACTACATCTGGACGCAGACGCGTCCATCCATCAGGGGCTCCAGGTTACTGACCTCTGACCTCTCTCTCATGTCGCTCTAATCACCTCTTCCTCGAACGGGTTGCTTCCTTCCTGGGCTTCAGCACATGGGAAAACACAGAGAGGAAACATGGAAGGAAATGGAGATCATTTATTTGAACCAGTGCTAAAAGCTAGATGTGAAATGTAACTGCTGGATGTGCATTACTTAAAAAAATAAAAAAAAAATCTTCCTTGGAGATTTTTACAGTTTGTGCTCTCACTCTCTCCCTCTGTCCTTCTTCCTGTCTACTGTTGCATAAAGTCAACTAGTAGAAAGACATGACTAAAACACGGTGGTGGCAGCATCATGTTTTGGGGTCTTCAGATGGACCTGGGGTGGATTCAATTATGAGTTGTTGCACATAGCATTTAGCATTGACAATCAGTTTGGTAAAATAGGTTTTCTATCAGTAGAGGTTTAACGCTCTCTCATGCAGACGGGTTGCTGAATCTTTTGTTGTCATTTTTATGGTTCCCTCTTAATCGCTTTAATGGTTGTTGTTGTTGTTGTTGTTTTAATCATTATTTTTATTATTTTGTGCTATAAGTTGAAGGAGAAAGTTTTAAAACGGTAGTCTAAAAGCCCAAAGCCCTGGCATTTGAACTTATTACAATTTGGGAACTGCTTTCCTGCCCTGACAAAGAAAATTTCTGCCTTTTTTTTTTTCTCCCAAAACTTAGATCCTAAATGTCTAAACTGAAGAACAACAATGCAGGCTCATATTATGTCATTTTATATCAGGTTAGATGAAATATTGATTAGTTTTGTTGTGCCTTAATACATTGTTTTTAATTGTAGACTAAGAAGGATTCTTGGTCATTTGGTTACACTGGATTTCATCTTCTGGAATCTGAGAAAAATCTGAATCCAAATTTACGCCACCCTAGACATTTTTGAAAGTGATGTATTGCTTCGCTTTTCTCTTTAGAATTGTAAATTATAGATTTTGCTCTATGAAGCTGTGGTTGTAACTTGACAAAACGTGGAGGAAAAAAAAAAAAAAAAAGTTCAGCCGAGTGACACTTCAAGCAGCTTCTCTGCAGCTGCTCTTGGATTAAACGTGCACACTGTGATCTTTTTGCAGCGAGCCTCACACAAGAACTATGGAGAAAAACACGAAGGAAGTTTTGTCTTCCAGTTTCAGAACATTTTAAAGGAGGATCTGTTTCGACCCGGTGAACCGGCGGATCC